CCCCAAAACCCCAAAACCCCAAAACCCCAAAACCCCAAAACCCCTAGCCTATTAGAAATTATTGAACCTTTACAACAGCAAGTCTTAGCATTATGATGCCAACTGCGCGAAAGGCTATTCCTAGTCCAAGAAGGATATAGATGCATTTAGTAAGCCCTAGCTCAAATCCAAAATTAGTGAAAAGTGTTGGATCGTGAACATATCTTGGGTTGTCCAAAAATTCATTGCGTAGTAAAGCCTCACCTCAATATCTTATTGGAGATAAATGGCTGATCCATTTCGTGTAGACAGGAATCTGGTGTAGATTTACAAAATATCCACCTCAAAAGAGCATAGGGCCAAGTAAAAATATGACCATTGTTGTGACCATCATTGGATCTGTCACTGAGCATCCTATTGCGAAGCCCAGAGATGTACCGAAGAACACTACTGAAACTAAAATACATGAGAAGATCATTAATTTATCGAATTCTGGAGTCAATCCTGCTGCAAAATACACAATCAAAGATGCCAAAAAGGGAAATAAAAGTTGGAAAGGTGCCTCAATAACTGACTTTGATAGGAAGTAACTCCAGATCCCATAGTTCTTACTGGCATATTCTCTCAAGAAAATAGGTCTCTCATCGATAAAGTTCATTGCAACTGAAAACAAAGCTTGCATGGTCTGGTCTACGCTCATGAAGAACATAAAGCCTATTTTGTTATTTACTCCTTTGGCATCATAAGAAAGATCCCAGAAGAAAAATCAAACGATAACACTGATCATGACAGAGGCTACAAAGCGGAGCTTGAGATGAGTAGGGTTTCTATAAGTATTTTTCACAGTTCTTCTTAATAATTCCCTCAGCTCAGTTCAAAATGAGACAGAACTGTGGTATTCTTTGAACTCATTAACATCGGCTTCTTCGAGACCGGTATCATTCTCCCTGATTTGTTTGGTCATTTCATTCTAAATATTAGGATTGGTATAAAATTCTTCTGAAATGAACAACTAAGAAGCCGGAAATGACTTTTGCTTTAAATTTACTTTATCAGAGAGCTTGTTTTTGTAAGCCTCCGTTAAGATTTCCAGAGTGCTGACGTCCTCCTCTGACTTGTTGAATGGCATGTAGAATTTTTGTAAAAAGTAGCCGGCTGGGTTTGAATAGCTTGGAACATTAAAGCCAATTGATTCAAAGTATTCAACAGACTGACTAGCAGCACCCTGGTATATCTGGTGGCCATCCATGAGTAGGATAAGCTTGTCAAAGAGCCCAAATGTTTGGGAGCTTGGTTGATGAATGGTGGCTACGACAGTCTTGCCTAGCTTTGCCTGGCTTATCAGCAGTTTAACGATCTTATGAGCTGTGAAGCTGTCTAGGCCTGAAGTAGGCTCGTCTAGTCACAAAATCTGAGGGTCTGTCACCAGTTCAATGCCAATGGCTGTGCGTTTGCGCTCTCCGCCACTCAAACCCTTGATTAGCTGATTGCCAATGAAAGTGTGTCTACAATTATTGAGGCCCAGGTCTTCGATGATTGTGTTCACTCTGGTAGAGATCTGATGTGGTGGCAATATGAGCTTGAGTCTAGCTGAGAATGTAATAACTTCTTCACAAGTCAGTGTCGGAAACAACACGTCGTCTTGCATCACGTATGCTCCATATTTACCGAAGCTGCTCTGTCTAACAGAATGTGTGTCATTTATAAGGACTTGTCCCTGAAGCTTAGCAGACTTCGAGTTGGTGAGGCGGTCACAGAGAGCGTTAAGAAGAGTGGTTTTACCAGCACCAGATGAGCCCATGATGAAGCAGGCTTGGCCTGGTTTGATGGAGCCACTTTGAAGTTTGAGTATGGTTTTCTCTTTGGAGTTGGAGTTCTTATAGACTCTGCTTTTGGTCTTAACAGTGTAAGTAAGATTATGCCATGAAAGCTTCATCCCTACACTCTTGTAATCATCTTTCTCAACTAGTAGTTGTCTATATTGGTGCATATTAATTTTACATAATTGTACTTATAAAATTCTTAAATAAGCTCAGATTAGTCAATTGTACGTCACTATTAAGCAGAAATTTTCAATTCGGGATCAAAAATTAGGGGTTTTGGGGTTTTGGGGTTTTGGGGTTTTGGGG